GAGGTTGCAGGCAGGGAAGAGTGGGTGGAGAGGAGTATCGGGACAGAAAGACAGGCAGCAAGAGTGAAAAGGGAAGGTCTACGAGATTGTAGTGAGACCTTCTGTGATGTAGGGGTTGGAGACTGTGGCACTGACAAAAAGACGGGGCAGTGCTGGAAATACTAAGATATTCACTGGTTGTGACCATCATAGACGGGATTAGAAATGCTCAGATCTGAAGAAAGTTGGAGAGGCAAGGCTGAAGTGTATGGAACGCCAGGACTGGCATAATGAATTAATTAAATACACCATTAAGAAATTAATTAAATGTGGCAATAATTAATTAAATAAATAGTTATGACACATGTAATTAATTAATTATTGACACATTTAATTAATTATTTATGTATTTCACATTTTAATTAATTATTGACACATTTAATTAATTATTTAATGGTGTATTTAATTAATTCATTATGGCAGTCCTGGCGTTCCATACACTTCAGCCTTGCCTCTCCAACTTTCTTCAGATCTGAGCATTTCTAATCCCGTCTATGATGGTCACAACCAGTGAATATCTTAGTATTTCCAGCACTGCCCCGTCTTTTTGTCAGTGCCACAGTCTCCAACCCCTACATCACAGAAGGTCTCACTACAATCTCGTAGACCTTCCCTTTTCACTCTTGCTGCCTGTCTTTCTGTCCCGATACTCCTCTCCACCCACTCTTCCCTGCCTGCAACCTCTTCTTTAGTTCTCTTATGCACTGTCTGTTTCTTTGAATGGTTGACCCCATGTGTTTAAACTCATCTGCCACCACCTCCTCTGCTTACATGTTTACTGTTACTGGGGATTTATGCTTTAGTGGGAAGTTTACGCCCTAACCTACGTCATACTCCGACGTGCACGTCTGCTACTTTTTTCTCTTCGGGTTTTTAATTTATCAAGATAATAACAATCATTTGGGTTAGGGGTTAGGGTTAGGTTAACCCTAACCCCTAACCAATTGACACATTTAATTAATTATTTATGTATTTCACATTTTAATTAATTATTGACACATTTAATTAATTATTGACACATTTAATTAATTATTTAATGATATATTTATTTATTTCATTTTGGCAGTCCTGGCGCCTGGCTCTCGTCATGAAATAATTTTATCTGTCAGCCTCACCCATCAAACTCAGGGGGCGGGGTTAACGCTGCCCATGCAGCTTCTCTAACATTTGATTGGTTGCCGTGCAAAGTAAGTCAAAACAGGTCGATCCTAGATAATCGATTGCTTGTGTAGACTTGGGGCAGCCAGTTATCCCAGAATGCAGATCAAATCACAGGCAGCAATGGTGGTGGTGTAGTTTTAAAATACCCCGTTTTTCTGTCACCAGCTACACTTTAACAGTGTTTTAGCCGCGAATGTCGCGCCGTATGTCTGGTCAGGTTGTCAACATAGAACATGCTTGCAAAAGTGCTCAGATGTTTTCAGAGATTTCACTAGCTCTGCTAACAGTTAGCATGCAGAGTGCACCGAGGGTGTTACGTTAACCGGTTTGTTTACATATTCCACTCTCCGTGTTCCACATGTTGCATTCGCAGGTTCTCATTTTCACCGAACGATCATCTCTTTCCGCCTGGTCTTGTGTCTCTGTGCTTCTGTAACATAAAGAACGAGCTGACATTTTTCTCACGAAACCAGCGATCAGCTCAGCAGACCCTCAGTTTACCTGCATGCATCCTCCTCCTCATCTGTCAGCTGTTTAACACCTTCTGCTAATTCAAGAAACACGCCTAGTTACCTGGTGATAGTCACAGTTTAACTGGGCAGCCGGTGCTCGATATAACGCAATGTCAGCGCATTTTTCTGCACAAGATAAGTAAATATAGTGTTTTCCCCGAGCGCAGAGCTGCTGGAGCTTGTTTCCTTACAGAGCACTTTATAGGTGAGCCAGCTTTATCAGCGGCTGATGTCCAATCACCAGCACACAGCTTTCAAACCTCAGCTGAGTTTTAGCTCTCAGTGGTTAAACGCTGGACTTCATTCACTCAGGTTCTGTCTGTCGGGTCACGTTTACTTCGCTGTTTTATTTACAACTGAGCAAATCGGTTTGGCTGAGGTTAAAGTTACGTTTCATAACTGCATAGTTTCACAGACGTTTAATGGTTCACTGGCACATGTGTTAGACTGAACTATCATCTAAATATCATCTGTTTTTTAATAGTTATTCAACTGTATTCTAAGCACCAGCTGTCTGTTAGAATGTGATTTTTTTTTCTCTCTCTGTTGGCAGAGGTATAAAAATGCGCAGGAAAATCTGACATGCATGGCGAACTTCACCGACGATATTTAGGGAGGAATAAACACACATCAAACATAAATGAACCATTTGCCTGTCTCCATAATTGAGAGAATTTTCTCTTCTTATGTCAACACTCTCTCTCTTTTTTTTTGCTTTTTTTTTGCTTTTTCGGTCATGTTATGTTTACCTGTCAAAGGCTTGTTACAAACTATGAAACACATTGTGCAGACTTCTGGATGTTAGAAGAAAACTAATACTGCTCATGAAGGAGACTAAAGGCAGGAAGGTGTCCTTTAAAACTAAACATGTTAATAGGACCTCCCTGTTTATATCATAGTTTATGATATAGCACGTGTATTTCAGTAATAGCCTGCTGAGGCCACTATACGTGCTGGCCTCATATCAAATGTGAAGGCAGACTGAGTCTATGTTTGACGTTTTTTATATCTAATCTTCCTTTTCAAACATTTAAACAGCAGCGAGTCTGCAGCTGAGGGAATACAAATTCAAATTGTCGGAACAGGTTTGCTCGTTTCTTGGATTCATTTGGTGATTTATTAAATGTATAACTGTTATTCTAATCTGCTGCTGAGTCTCTTACACTTTTCTTTATGCTGTATATTTTCATGTCTCTGGAATAGTTGGCAGTTAGATAGTCAGCTGGGAAACTTTGTGTTAACTCATGGAGCTGAGGATATCGTGGATATCGTGGATATGCTGACCTCGCTGCGTGGTGTACAGAGCGAGGTCAGCATGATTAATATTCACAATAAAAATATTAGCCGAACATCATGAAGTCTGTATGTGTTTCATAGTGTCGAACAACCTTTGTACAGTTAAAGCCAGCAGTTACTACATGACGGAAACACCAACGTTATCTCTTTTATGTGTTTATACACAGGTCACGCTGATTACTGAACAAAAACCGAAAGATCAGATGTTAAACAGATTTATTTGCTCTCTCTCCTCCTTAAACATGTTTTTAATGTTAGTTATAATTCAGAATTGGCGACTGAAACACGTAGGACACATAAGAACATCAGGAAATAAAACACCGATAAATATAACCTCAGTAAAAGAAGTCAGCGGGGGTTACTACAGCTGTGTACCGGGGCCTGCGCTTTGTCGGTGGGATTGCTTGCGAGGCGAGCGGGTCTATCCCACGCTTTGCCGTGAGACTGGGACGACATCTCCGAAATCATCGAAACACTTTTGCAAAGAGGCTGTATCTTGACAAACCGACCAGACACATGAAGATTCAACCACTACATTCTCGGCTAAAAAAATATTAAAACGGTATTTGGTAACACACAAACAGGGTTTTTCAAAGCTCAGTTCTGTTAGCTTCCACATGCCGGTTGTTGTGTGCTAGAAACAATGGCCACCAGGCCAAAGCAATGGTTTTGACTCGATCAGCGTTAACCCCGCCCCCTGAGTTTGATGGGTGAGGCTGACAGATAAAATTATTTCAAGACGAGAGCCAGGCGTCAGGACTGCCAAAATGAAATAAATAAATATATCATTAAATAATTAATTAAATGTGTCAATAATTAATTAAATGTGTCAATAATTAATTAAAATGTGAAATACATAATTAATTAATTAAAATGTGAAATACATAAATAATTAATTAAATGTGTCATTAATTAATTAAATGTGTCAATAATTGATTAATTAAATGTGTCAATAATTAATTAATTAAATGTGTCAATAATTAATTAATTAAATGTGTCAATAATTAATTAAAACGTGAAATACATAAATAATTAATTAAATGTGTCAATAATTTAATTACATATATCATAACTATTTATTTAATTAATTAATTCCAATTTTAATTAATTATTGCCACATTTAATTAATTATTTAATGGTGTATTTAATTAATTCATTATGGCAGTCCTGGCGTTCCATAGAAGTGGTTTGGAGATGTGTAGAGACAATGTATTGGACCAAGGATGTTGAAGGTGGAGCTGTCAAGCTATCAGAGGGGAAGACCACAAAGGATTCATGGATATAGTGAAGGAGGTAAATTAAGATTTTAAGCTCCTTTCTGAACATTAAAAACTACACCAAGTTTTACAAGCACATGTGACGGTGAGAGGGATAATAACACACCGGTGGACTGGAGGTAAACAAGCTTTTCAGTAAGTACATATTTAAATTAAAGCTCAATTTTCTCCTAGCAAACGACGACATGACTTTTAAACAGAGACAAAGGAGCTTCGAGGTAATTTAACCCCCTATCAGAGCACCACCACCGTGTAAGGGACCCACGGGGGAGCCATAATAAAGGTCACATCAAGCACACCTGCCACCGAGGCCATTCAATTTCGAAATTGCCTGTAGAGTCACACCAAGGCCAGATCCACAGATTGGAATTGACCGTTCAGGCTAAAGGTTAATAAGGACGTGATGAGGCGGGGGAAGCGAATTACATTGTGCAAAGAAATGGAAAAGAAAGGCCACAACCTTTTTGATATTTGTCTAAAGAGCTTCCAAGACCTTTAAAATGAAATCCAGATCAAGACTACGCGTCTAACTATCGTGTGATCAAACAGGAAACTGGTGTTTAGGCTTTAAAGCGGGCATATGTTTGGCTTCACCGACTCTAAAGCTCTCCAGCTGAGCTTTAAGCCCTCGTTACTACAGTCGAGTGCTACATCAAGGTCAACCCCGGCGGTTATCCACACGCTCTCTTACAGCCATCCCGCTTCCGGCACTCACCTGAGGGTTGTAGGCGGTTGCAGGAGCAGAGCCCGTTAGTTTCTGGGTGAAACCACTGAACTTGTAGTACATTTTTCTTCTGAAGGAGGACCGGGACGAGGTGTTATGTACTAAAGAAATCCACCGGTAAGGACCGTCCTGTTGGGACCTTCGAGGGAAAGTGACGCAACAGTTAGCTGACCCAACACTGCCTGTTTAAAAGTCGAACCAAAACGGAGGGCGACCGGAAGCGTACGCGTACAGTTAAATGCAAAGTGTGGACAACAAAATGTCACCAGGAGTTCAAACAACGGAAAAAAAAAAATGAAAATAGTACACGAAAGGGGGGTGGAAGCCAATCTCAATTTCTATTTCTATTTCGACTTACTGATTCAAACTTCAGATAGAATAATAAAATTATTAAGTACCTTTTCTGATAATAAACTTTTTAAACTTCTGTCATGCTTTTCAAAAGAAACTAAAATAATATGACAGAATAAAAATCAGCCGAAACAGCTTTACACAGACACATACATAAATAAACGTACATTTAAAGAGTTTGGTGAAAAGCTAAACTGAGTCAAGTATTAACTCAAACACTGAACTTCTTTGAAGTTCATTTGTTTTGTGAGAGATCTTATTTAATAGAGACAAATGTCACAATAATACAGTGAAAAGTGTTAAATGGGAATGGCAATACATAAACACTGCTAGCGTCACGGATTTGGTTATATACCTCATATTTAGGTTCAAATTATTCAGTGTGGAAAGTAAAAAACAGGACGGGTTTGAGATTAACTGGCTGAACACGTGACTGATTAAACAAATGTAATGAGGGCGGGTAAATAATTACAAACACGGAAAACTAATAAGGAAAGGAAGTCAAAATTGTAAAGAGCCTGGGAACTTACAAAATAAAATAGGAATTAACAGGCACAAAAATACAACCAACCACCATAGTGGTGCCTTTATTTAGTGATAATTCTTCTTTGCCATTAAAAGTTTTAAAGTCATAATGTTTTTGTTTTTAATTTCTGTTGGCAGGGCGTCTCTGATCTTTGGACTTTTTAACTGGCAGCTCGATATGTGATGTATTTTAAAATCTCTAACTATCAGCTGGATTCTCCCTTGTATCAAAAGGCTCTTTCAGTCACACAGTTAGGGTAACCTTGGCAATATACTTTGGATAGTTACACACGTGATTAATTCAAGTTTTCAATTAATTTGAGTTTGAAATAGCTGAGAATCATTGATCTCCTAAAAAATAAAAAATAAAACCCTACATTTTCTACAAATCTACAATTTCTGAATGTTCAAGTAGCAAAAATGTGTTAAAACCAACAAACAAATTGAAAATGTTAAGTGACATGCATAGTCCCCAGAGAATGAAATCTATGAGTCGCAAAATATTTCTTCTGTGCCACCAGCAGGTCAAGATTTTTGTGGTTTTGAGTCAATTAACTCAAAAATGTCTGATCATTTTATATTTATTAAGCACTCACACTGCCATCATAATGAAGTTCAGTAACTTTGGCGATTTGAGAATCTTTCCTCTGGTGTCATCAAGGTCTAAAGGCATAAAGTGTTGTTGGAAATAACTCTAAAATAGAACATTTTCTGCTCACACATTATTCAAATGGAGTGCTATAAAGAAGTACACCATAAGGATGCATTTATAACAAGCCTTCTTACGTAATTGTTAAAAAAATGTCTTGAATATTTTTTAATTGTTGATCATTCTTTTAAGAGAATTGCAGTTCTTATCAGTGGTTGTGCAATTGTTCAGGACAAAACTATTATAGAAAAGTGGTACTAGTTGTAACATTAGCTATATGTGTATGTAACTCCCTAAAAGCCTTGCAGTTACATAATATGTTCACCCCACCGGCTTCATATGTGTGTGCTTTGTCTTCTGTGTCATGTTTTTTAATTCGTCCTTCCAGGAGCTGTTTTTGTAGCTTAGAACATAGAAAGGCCCATTATAACAAAGTGGCCCATTATAACAAAGTGACACACGGACCCTCTTTAACGGTTTCCAGAGGTGTATAGAGCACCTGCATGCATGAAGGTCACATAACATTATGGTTTTTGTTTGCAAGTCGACATTAGTAATAAAAGAAACACGAGCCTTTCATGATTTGTGCTAGTTTCTGCTGAGATTGCAATTAAAATCGTCCCTGAAGAAGATTCCTGAGTTTGTCGTCTTACTTTGGCTGAAAGCAGAATTTGTCTTTTTACACTTCAAAGTTTCTTTTTTTTCTCAGTGTCAGCAGCCAACCGCTGCCAAGTGCAGCTTGGTTCCCAGGTTCTGCCTGCTTGCATTTTGACCTTTTGTCTGTTTATTGGACATTGGATGCCTGCCTGTGAATTCCCATTTTAGTTTGTCTGGTTGGATTGCCCTTTCTGGTTTTGGACCCTAGCCTGCTTCAACCTTTACTTCTGCTATATTCGCTCTGCCTCAGGTGTCTGTATGTGGGTCTTATTCTCTGTTGACCTTTAACCCTGTTAGCACCAGTTGTGACTTATAATTGGAAGTCCACCTTTTGCCTTCACAACTATCTTAATTTTTTGTGGCATAGATTCAATACAGTGTTGGAAACATTCTTTAGACATTTTGGTCCATATTGACATGATAGCGTCGCACAGTTCCTACAGATTTATCAGGTAATAATAAGCAGTTATCTGAACTGCTGTTGCCTTCCAGTCAACTCAAAGAAGTCTAACCATTCTCTTCTGACCTCTGGCATCAACAAGAAATTTACACTCAGAGAACCGCTGCTCACTGGATATCCCCCCCCCCTTTTTGTTTTAGACAATTCTCTGTAAATCCTAGAGATGGCTGTAAATCCCAGTAGATCAACAGTCTTCTGCAACGCTCAGACCAGCCTATCTGGCATCAACAACTGTGCCACATTCAAACTCTCTTAAAACACCTTTCCTCTAAATTCTGATGCTCGGTTTAAACCTCAGCAGGTCATCTTGACCATATCTACATGCCTAAATGCACTGGGTTGCTGCCATGTGATTGGCTGATTAGATATTTGTTTTAACAAGCAGTTGAACAGGTGCGCCTACTAAACATCGGCAGCACTCTTGTGAGCTTCTCAGAGTGTGCCAATTAGAATTTAGCAAAATGAACAGCTGTGCTTTAATACAGCACCACAGAGCGGCTTGCTTCAGCGATCTCAGTAGTTAATGGCAAGAATAAGGGGTTATAAAAACAAAATGAGGAGAAAATTTTTTTGGCCACAATTCAATTAATAAACACCAGCTCTATCAGTAAAAACAGGCAGCGTGATGGTGCATTAGTTGGCACTTTCACCTCAGGGCAAGAAATTTCAGGGTTTCAAGATTCTCTGGTCTACTGGGGCATTGATTTTGAGTTTGCATGTTCTCCCTGTTTTTCCAAGTCCTCTGACTTCCTCCCACATGCGTGTTAGGTTAATTGTCGGTTCTAAATTGGCTGCAGGTGTGACATAAATAAAGTACTGTATGAGCATGTGGCTGCTGTTATAGCACCCTGAATTTTTAGAAAAAACAACAGTTTGGTCAATTTATCGGAAGAACCACTAAAAAATGGATACTTGTTTTTTTGAGCCCGCATGTATTTATTTATTTTTTTTAAACCTCAGGTGCTTATGACACTAAAAGAGTTGAGTGAGTAAACACAGCTATCAGAGCTCATTGACAGATGTGCAACATGTTGAAAAGGTTTGAGAGCTGAGAACAGTGCGTCAGCATGGCTTTTTTTGGTTTAGTGCCAATTTACCCTCATGGCAGTACTTTGTGAACCAGACTGCAGTGCAATGATCGCTCCAGTGTGAATCCAATGAGTGCACTAAATGACCTTGCCAACAGGCTCAGATGTTCCTCGGGTTAAATGTTACATTCCCACTGCCTCCACAAAGTAATGGGAGAAGGGTTTAAATGGTATTGCGATCATTGCATGAATATTTCAAAATCGCACCTTCACTGATCACGTCCTGAGGTCAATTTTTAGTTCTGCTAATTTAATTAAGAATATCATGAGTTTGAATATTGTGAGAGCTGATGATTGAGACTGATAATTTTCAGAACATGACACTGAGATCAGACTATTTTTCTGGCTCAATCTGATTTCTAATACACTATTAGACAGTCAGAGGCATTTTGCAAAGAGTAATTTTATTACAAAAGCTCGTACATTGATCACATTAATTACAACTCCAGAGTGTACTGATGAAAATGTTTTGATTGATGGTTTCAATCAGGCCTGGCCAAACTTCACTGGTAAAAAGCTATGCTACATGAATAATGCATTGGAAGGTAGGTAATAAAATATTGATTGTGTTTAATTCAATTGTGCAACTACTTAAAAAGCACATCAATAGCAGCTACGAGGATACGGAGGTGTCTACAGTACACATTAAATACATACAGGGCTGCACAGATTATGAGGATTTAACATATGTAGACTACTATCAGTACAAAGACACAGTGAACATTGTTTAAATTTCCTTTGCAAGAAGAAGAAGAGCAGGATTTTGATGCGTGTGTGTAAAAAGAGGATTGTTGATGGCAACAGGAGGAAGAGGAGAGGAGATGCAGAGAAAGACTGTTGTGTGGGAGAGGTGTTGACTTGTTTGTTTGGATCATGTGTCTCTTCAACAAATCGTATCATCTTGGCAAACCGTGCAAACATGTCTGAATCATGAATGTCAGAACCATGACATTGACAGCCTCCATTGTTCTTTTTTTTTTTTCCCTCTACACTTGATTTTTTTCCCCCTGTACGTTTGTTTTTGGTAATTTTAAATAATCGCTCTGATGCTGTGATATTCCAGATAATCCTAGGACAAAAAAGCTGCGTGCCAGCCAGGAGGTGTGCGTGGATGTAGCCTATTTGCGTGCACACAAATCAAACCACAATTATGATTGACATGCTGGAGGATGATGTTGCCTTGGAGACACAGAAATACAAAATGCCTTACATTCACTGGCAAACAGAGAAGCGAATTCTTCGTGCTCGGGTTTGAACCACATTCCATCATTTTTGCCCAGAATCTTTTATGCTCACTTTCACACTCCATCTGCTCTGTCATATCTATCTCAGTGTTATTGTCTGCCACCTTGCAGTCCTCGGTGACCTGTCTCCATATTTCATTATCATCGGCTTAACTCCCCCCTACAGACCCCCAAACTAAGCCCTCTGTTTAACTCCTCCATCCCCACTTTGCAGTCCCCTGTTCACTCCTTCTCTTTATTTCACAGGTTTAACAGGATGCATCTAGGTCACACATCAATCTTGTGTAACTTGTACCATCTGTGTGCAAAGCTTAGACAAAGTGAAAGGCTGATGGCCAGACAAACAAACACAAACATACACACACGTTGCACTTGACGCAGCCGTCTCTGCCAGTGTTGTAACCAGGGGAATATGAGTAAACAGCAGCCGCTGTCAGATCTGGATTGACTGCACCTGTCTGCGTTTAATTAATAAATATCTGTGTATTCCTATTGTTACGTATGGTGCAGTTAAGAAGAGAGTCGCACAACATGTTGGTTCAAGACAATGAAAACAAAAGCTTCTATTCTACACATACAAAAGGCTCTGCGATCAGACTTTAATAACCTACAAACTTGGCTGTCAGATAACAAATTACTGCTCAATAAAAACCTGCTTTATGCTCTTTGGCCTGAGACAGAACATCAACTTAAATCTAATTTGCTGCATTTAACCCATAATGATGCTGGAGCTCTTCAGAAAACGGGGGAAAAAATGAAATATTTATGTGTGTGGGTTGACTCTGAACTTACCTTCCAACCACACATCGATCATTTCGTGAAGGTAAGCTTTGGTGCTGGTGCTCTGCATTGTTCCACACTTTTTTTTTCTTTTTACAGCCTATTGAAGTGCTTTAACCCTGATCTTCTTCATCTCAATGGTACATACTATGATTTACAATTGGCTGCGCTTTCTTTTTCTAACATAATGTGACTTAGTAAATACATGATATAATTTTTATTTGTAGTGTTTTTAATGCATTATTTTGATTATAGTCACACTTTTTTAAACTTCTACATCATGTATTAGAAGCTTTGATCTAAACCTGTTTTAAAATAGATTTTATTCTTTTACTTATGTTCTGTCATATATAATGTTGCACTGGTGAAATCTCATATTAAACAAAGTTTAAAAAATAGTGATATGTATGTGTATATGTACAAGTAGCCTTTAGTCTGCTCTGATGCTCACACTTAAATCTGTGAGATACCAAAAACAGCAGATATACTTAACATGATCATCTCAAGCACACAGCTTTGTCTATGAGTGCAAAAGCCCCAGCCATCAGCCTTTCAGAGCTTCTGTCTGCAAGGGACAGCGAATCAGAAGAAAGTTGGATTAAAGGGAGGGTGCCTTTAAAGGGAGAAAGCTATAACAGCTTATTTCAGACAGTGGGTGAACTGAGGGGTTGCACAAGGCCCTATTGAACAATAATTCATGCAAAGCTATTCTAATAGTGTTAAGGAATTAAAACAACAGCATTTATGTTTCATTTTGTGTTTGACTAAAATAAGCTTAGTACCTTTAAATATGAGCTCTGTGTTATTTTTTCACTGACTTGAAAATATCTTGTTTTGTCAACTCAGAGTAGAATAAATTATTGAAAACATAAGCAAACATTAATTTATTGTTTTACTATTAAGTTAATATATGTCTGGTTTATGTTATTTTCTGTCCTTTTTTTTTTTGGTAGGTATACTCCAACATATCTGCCTTGCTGTCTGTATCAGCCTTGTTGACTGATGTTGTTCTACTGGTAAACAAGATGCCATTTACCAATGTCCTTCACTGACATTTATATATTTTGCACTGACTAAATGTTCACAGATAGTTGTTTTTATAATGACAATTTGTTTTCCTGATGCTTAGGGGAAATAAAAAATAACTTCAAAAACAAAATAAACTGAAACACATGAAGATATTGCAGAATTTCACAATTGTTAAATGTTATGTTTTCTTAGTCTTCTTTTTTCTGTTTGATATATGAATGTTTAAAGGGTTTTTCTAGGAAATTTATTGTACCTGGATGTAGACTGGACAAAATAAAATCTGGAAGGAAAAAAGGGCACATCGAACATTTGATGGTCTTCTGGTCATTAGAGTTTCTTTTTTTTGTCGGCAGGATGGTAGGCAGGATAGGACATGTTCATCGCAGCATTTCTGCCGACAGGTTGCGTGCATATCTGGCAGAGCGCAGTTTGAGTTCATGGTAGCACTGAACAAAACTGTGGTAGATGAATGTGATGGGCAGCGCCAGGAGCACAATGCCGCTCACTACACACATTCCCCCAAGCACCCGTCCTCCGATTGTTACCGGGTACACATCCCCGTAACCCACTGTTGTCATTGAAATAATAACCCACCAGGCAGCAGCAGGGATGCTGGCATAATCACTGTTCTGGGTCTCGAGATCCAAGCCGTGTTCCAGTAGCTGGGCCAGGGCACTGTATATAGCCATGGCAACGCAGACAAACACCATCAACATGACCATCTCTCGGTAGCAGCGCCTGAGAGTCAACCCTAGAGTCTGCAGTCCCAGGAAGTGTCTGGCCAGCTTCATGAGCCAGAACACTCTCATCATCCTCAGGACTCGGAGTATGACTCCAGCAACCCCGAGCCCAGCACCCGGCATCCCTGCCCGGGCCATCGCCATAGTGACATAGTAAGGGGTAATGGCAATCACGTCGATGATGTTGAGTGGCCTGCGGAGGAAGTCCCACTTGTCTTTAGCCACCAGAAAGCGCACTATGCACTCTGCCGTGAACCAGCCAATACACACTGCCTCCACTATCCTACAGAGAAGATAGAAGAAAAATTAGTTGCACACACTGTAAACAGGAAATGACAGAGGAGGTACAGTGAGATATGGATGGCATGAAATATGAAATACTGCCTGGCAGTCAGTAAATGTGAGGAAGGAGGAAGCAAAGCAAGGGGAGTTAAATGATGGGAAATAAGGAACAAAGCTGTCACAGTTCAGGCCTGGCACAAGTAAACAAAGACAGCAGGACAGATACATGGGCTAGTAAATTTCCGGCAAACTGCACAGAGGGAGGGTTTAAACCCTTCAAAGAAAGACTGTGTCAAAGACGGTCACATAATTACCCCATTGACAAGCAGAGCAAGGCCAGTCAAAATGAATTAGAGAATGATGATTCTTGCATTAGATATAAATGCAGTGAAGCCCAGAAATGACAAAAATACCTGCAAAGCAACTATCAGAATAGTTGCACCAACCCAAATTATGTAGCAACTGAGAGAACTGCATCATCTAATGACATGAAACTAAATTGGAATCCTTTTGCCCTCAAAGTATACAAGCCACTTGTATTGGCTACTTAACCACTGTAGCTGATCCAAAACTCAAAACTATGTCCAGCCTGAGGGAGCATAACCTAACCTTATATAGAGAATGGGCAGCTCAGGCTTCCAGGAAAGTACAGGCCAAAATCACGCAGACATGGAGATACACGTTTTCGCGCCTACATGCTTAAGTTAGAGAAACAAAACTCTGACTTATGATGATTCCTGTAAGTGGCCTAATTTCTTTGTTTGCTTGCACTATTATATAATCCCCTCAGTACACATTCTACTTTTATCTCATTGCCCACTCAAATATTATGAATCTATGATTACCTGATGTTTGCCCTTCATGTGCGCAATGCAGTGTAAACTAAGCAGGACAGTAAACATATTCAGACTAACTGTGAAGAGGGTGGGAGAAATAAGAGGGGAAAGCTATGGATTGGCTATTGATTTGCTTCCTCGGGGGCCTGTCCGGCTGTCATGTGAGGAGCCTAAGGTGTAATGTGCTGCCTGAAACTTGTCAGCGGGCATATTGAGTTCAGGGGCATCAATTCACTAAAGCACAAGAACAAATCCCCTGCAGGCAACGTAATACATGGATGTTTTAAATATCTTGCTTTGCTGTCATTCTTATTTTTATGTTATTATACCAAACATCCTAGAAAACACTCAAAAAGCTGAGGTAGAAAACATCTCAATGCATCCACCTCGTGGTTAATATTAGTGCGCAATGACTTTGGCCGTTGCCTTGAACTCATGCATGATCAAATGTTAAGAGGTATATTTATTTATTTATGCTACTTGTAATGACAAAATCAAATATTTGACACGATTTCATCTGTTCAGCTCACTTTTACACAAGACTGTCTCAGTTGTAGGATATCCGCACACATTGCGCCGAAACATTTGGCAGCATTTTCATGAGGGGGCTTCTATTCCTTCAAGTTAACTGACCCTTGACAATCGCCTACCTGTGTTCCTCCACAGTAGTTCTCTTGGCTGTATCCCAATCCGGCAGGGTGCTAGCGCACAGCATGATCATAGAAACGATAACAAAGATCACGGACACTGAAGCCAAAAGCTGCGCTACAAGGGAAGAGTTGGGCTCCTCAAAAGCCTTGCGCATTTTCTCGAGCCACCTAGCGCGACATGTGAGCTCAGCCTCTTGCACTGACTCCCCTGTGCTCTGGGGCTCATCCTCGATGTCCCCCTCAGAGAGTGTGTCCAGTCCGATGTCGGACATCCTATCGTCCAGGCGTTTCTGGCAGCAGGAGTCCAAGTGCGCGCTCTCCAGTCCCCAGTAGAGCATCTCTGTGTAGAAAGACAGCTCACACACTCCGGGAACAAATCGGAGTTTGCCGGAGCGCACGTACAACATAATAAACACGAAAGCCTGAGCGTGGCGGTCGAAGAAAAACTCATTCCGGTCCCGATCGTAGTCATCGCAGAGTTCGAGGACCTCTTTCTCGGTTGCGCAGGCAATCAGGCGGCTGACGCGTCGAAGAGGGAAATCCCTGATCACCTCACGGGTGAAGGCGTACCGGGTTCCCCCGACGTTAAGCACGCAGATGCTCTTCCCGAACTTCATTTTGACAACTTAAATCATGAAAGCCTAAAAGAACTCTTCACAGTCCATTCTTCCTTCCATCGCAGGAGTTTGGGCACTTGGGGAACTCGTCTCCCCTGCCCCGGGGCGTGGTTCGCTTTGAGTGAAGGTGGCCCTGCGCTGAGGTCCGTGGCTGCTAACTGTTAACTCTTCCCTCTGTCATTGACTCTATTCTCCGTCTCCCTCTGTAGCCTGAAGAAGAGACTCATCCCCCCAGTCAGCTCCAGCCAATCCCATCAGTGATGTCACAAGCGCGCGCGCGGACACACGCAGAGAAAAATCCATAAGCAACAGGAGTATAGAGCGTAATATGTGATTTAAGTCCACAGTGGAGACTGCTGCTTCCTATAAAATACTGTTTAGATTCTCCTGGAAGCAGATGAGAAATTATCGTCAAACATGATGAAAACCGGGAGGAAAATTCTTGTTTAAGAAAGCTTGGTTATGTCTCACTGTAATATTCCCTGTTACACTGACAAAAAAATAGATGTGAAGCTTGTATTTGATATGCTTGCACCATTATTAAAATTTTGACCATTTTATATCATTTGATTAAGATAGATAGAGATACTTATATATGACTTGTGAAACAAAAGATACATTATGTTGAGGTAAGTATAATAGAAAAAAATAGCAAGAGAAATATATGCACACATGAATAATTTATTATTGTTATTATTGCTAGTATTATTATTATACAAATAATGTTTTTTTTACTATTATTTTGATTTATGCAGATATGTGCAGCTTTATTTATTTATGTATTTGTTTTGAACAAACATAAAGAAAATAGTAATTGTTTTAACTTAGCAATGCAAATATTCTATACCAGCTCATTTGATAGCAAAATAAAATAATAATAATAATATCTACATCAATGTTTTAGCCGTGCGACAAACTGGCGACCTGTCCAGGGTGTACCCTGCCTCTGCCTGCCTGATAAGGGAATGGATGGATGGATGGATGTCTACACCAAGTATACAAAACATAATCATACATTGAATCTTCTTCTTCTTTGCCACAGCATCATCTGCCTTCATCTCACTATGTCACTGTTACATCAACCATCTGCATATCTTTCTTCAATACAGCCATAAATCTTCTCCGAAGTCTTCTACTTTTACTACTGCCTGGAAGGTAAATCTTTAACATCCTTTTTCTAATATATCACAGTATATCCCTCCAAGCTATCTAAACCTCGCTTCTCTAAAGTTATTAGAATTATAAATTACATACTCATTTCTAATTCTGTCCACTCTGGTCAAGGTGGATCATGTAACGATGCGTAAAAGATAACAACAACAACAACAACAACAACAACAACAACAACAACAACAACAACAACAACAACAACACAGAGACTTCTTCATGTAAACAGTTCCTTTTAAGTTTTAGAGCCCTTTCTGATTTGTTAGGAATTTTAGAGAGACTCAGTTTCAATGATTAGATTCGAGTTTAAACTTCTGGCTTTACAGATATAAAAATGTCCTAAAAAATAATGTACATACTGCTTTCTTATGTTTTCTGAGGTGGGCTGGTGTCTGCGCGTGTGGGCCGCGTGTGGTTGTGCTGCGCGTGCGCGGGCCCCCTCCAGCGTCAGCAGTGGTTTTTCGGGTTGATCCGACTTCTTTTGGCTGCCGTGAGTTAACTGTATCATAAAGGGTGCTGTGACTCGAAGGAGGAGGGGGGGTTGAATTGCCATAATTCTCCCGATAGGTTACACATCCGGAGTCCCGACCATCTTAATTTGTCGCTCCTTTTCCCTTCAAAGAGAGTAACTTTTATTGTTTTTATTAATTTATTCCATTTCTCTTAGTTTATGGTTTGCACACTGGGAGGGCAGAAATGGCGGCCAACATGTACCGGGTCGGAGGTATGTATGTCAATGTGGATCTTTTTATCAAAGAGAAACCGTTACAGTTTTGCACCTTCTGGGCGTTATTTTGTGTTATTTTGAGCTGTTTGCATTTAATGGTGGAGATGCGGATGTGCTACAGCAACGTGGACGCGTTAAGTTGAAGCAGGAAGGTGAGAGTTGGTGTATATTTGAGATTCAAAATGGGTCAGGCCTCGCGTCTGTCGTGGCCACAGCAGCTAGCCGCCAGCTTGCTAAATGGTTAGCTGGCAATGTAAACATTTTTCACTTGTTTGCTGCTCCCCGGGTTTCTGAATTCTTAGACCAGGGGATACAGGGGGCTTCTACACGGATAGACCTCACGACTAGACGTGTGTTTCAAAGGTTGTTAACATGCTACCACGGACAGTCTGAAGCTGCCTTTGTATTTGCCACTCCTGGCATGCAGCCATTAGTACGAGACCTTATTTAGCTAACGTTAGCACCAGCGATGGCTTCACTGATTACCATTAATGCCGTCTCAGCGCTCGTTTGCTGCATTTAATGATCGTATTTAACCATCTCGGTAACATCAGGTGCCAAACTGTTTTGCCAAAGTGACCACCTACAGTAACCACAAGGGCAATTAATTATCAAACAGGGATGCAGGCTGGCTGATTTTCTAGCTAGCTCCTTAGCAGTCTACTGGAATTCAACATCAAATTATTGTCTCCGCGCATGGCGTCGCTGCGTCTGCTTTTACACATTTATTCAGGAATACTTGAGCTTTAAATCCATACACAGACGGCCACGTAGCCTAATTGCATTAATGCTTGACATGCCACGCAAACTATAGGCGTCTAATGACATATCTTGCAGCACTTTATAACCGGTATTTTCGAGGTGCATCAGCTTATTGTCCCCTCACGTCACCTTTAGGCTAACTTCTGCTGCTTTTAGGTGCTCATTGTAAACTCCGTGAACTTGTCGATAGGACACACAAACTTCCAGGTACATTCAGGTACAGTTTTTCTCCCTGTATGGAACAAGTCTTAACAAATGTAGTCAATATTTTGCTGCTACATTGCAAACAAAAAAAAAGATGGGATCTGTAGTTTATTCATTTATTTAAGGTTTGTTTTGGTTTTGACTTTTTACAGCATTCCAACACTGATGTGCAGTACATTCCCATCCCAGAGGCTGAGGGTTATCATACACATTAGCATGATTATACATAGACTTTAATGACATGCACAACTCTGACAAATATGCCGCTTCACCGTTTAAAAGTCTGGAACATGTGGAATGAAATGTATCAGACTTTGTGTCAATGCTGCCTTTGCCACAACCTAAAGTTGTGTAAAGTTTAATAAAAAAAAAAAAGAGATATTGTTACATTTATTTTATTTGTCCCATTTGTTGGGAACTGGCAGTGTCTAGAAGACACATAAGCTGGAAGAAAGATGGGGATTCAAACCAGTGCTTCTGCATTAGGCTTACGGCATATGGGCCATCTACTCAAACCCAGAGAGCTATACTGGCATCTGGTGATGTTATTTATATGCATGGGCAATCTTTTTTTTTTTTTTTTAATGGCATATTGAAGTTTTTATTGTCTTTAATTTATTTTTTCATACAAACTGAAACAGTGTGGTAACATATGGCAACAGGTTGAAAGACTGATAATTTTGCACTTTTATTCACCCATAACTTGGTGGTTGTTGACTAGAGATTTTTCCTTTTAACTTTTCTGGTGCAACACTTTCTGAAAGTCACAACTTTGCACATATTTATTGATTAAAGGACATGCATATTCTTTGATTTGACCTACTGTAGCGCCAATGTATTAGAAGAAGAAAGTGTACTTTATTGGTCCCCGTGGGGAAAATCCCTCTCTGCATTTAACCCATTCACTCAGTGAAGCAGTGGGCAGCCACTGGGCGCCCGGGCAGCAGTGTGTAGGGACGGTACCTTGCTCAGGGGTATCTCAGGGTAGCTGTTCAGGGGAATCGAACCCCTGACCTTCCGATCATGGGGCCACCACTCTACCTACTGAGCTATCCCTGCCCCCCCCCCCCCCCCTTTTTTTTTTTTTTTAAAGTTCATGTGGTCTATATATTTAAATATATGATATGCGTGTTTCCTGTTGCAGACTATGTATTCTTTGAGAACTCCTCCAGTAACCCTTACCTGATCCGTCGGATAGAAGAACTCAATAAGGTACTGATGTGTGCGTTTTTCATTTTCACGAGTGTGAGAATATGTTAGAGAATTCCTTGAATTCCTCTGTGCTCCTGTCCCCACCCTATCACTTTCCCATTGTTTGTGTGGATTTTGTGACCTTGTTTGTAATATGGCTTGAAAAGACAGGTGTTCCCTGATCTACCAACTGTCATTAGTATGACTTGACACACCTGTGTGTGTGTAGGCGGGGTGACTATTATCAACATTTCACAAGCTCATGTAGCTTTGGGCTAAAGATGCAGATTTATTTTAATTATAAGCTGATACCAACCTTGAACAGCAGTGTTGTTGCTCTCTCTTTTTTCTCTCGGCATTTTACCGTAATTCCTGTTTTATTTTGTTCGAAATCCTTCACAAGCATTGTTAATAGGTGTGTAAAAGCTTTTCCTGTGTCATGCTTGCACTGAGATGTTCAGATAAATGCAGGTCATTATCGGATTGTGTGGGTGGAATAATGCTAGATCACATTATCATCCTGAAAGAGTGTACTGAGGCTCAATGTTATAATCTAAAGACAGGAGACATCGTAATTATCATAAATGATGAAGTAACAGGAAGTCCCTGCAGCATGATACGATTTAATAAACCTCTGCTGTTGCAAATACAAGCTGTATGAAGCTTATCGTGTTGGTAAAGGTGAAATGGAGTGCTTGATCAAGCACGATGGACATTTTTGTGGCTTTAGCTAGTGCATCGATATGCACATCGTTGTTCCTGTTATTTACTCCAGATCCCTTTTTATATAGATACATTTGCTTTTGTACACAAACTTGGAAGCAGGTAGGTGGGGAGTATAAGTTGTTTCTTTTTTTTTCTTCTTCTTCTTCAAACCTTTTTCAAACCTTTTACCCCCGCATCTAGTCATCAGTCACGACATTTAATACTGGCTGAGTTTGAGCACAGCTTGATAGGTACACAAAGGAGCCAGGTCTCTTGGGAAATTACAGGGTTGCACAGGTAGGTGTTGCCACTTATTTGAGTCAACCTGGATGTCTCTCCTCTCTTTTAGACTGCCAGTGGGAACGTGGAGGCCAAGGTAGTTTGTTTCTACAGAAGGAGAGACATCTCCC